TCCCAGCTACTTGGGAGGCGGAGGCAGGAGACTCGCTTGAGCCCAGGAGTTGGAGGTTGCTGTGAGCTGTAATGCCACGGCACTCTGCCCGGGGGGACAGCTTGAGGCTCTGTCTCAAAAATAAATAAATAAATAAGTAAATTTGTTTTCCTCCTTTAAGTGTCCATTGTTAAGAGAATGGTACATAAATTATGATATAAGCATAGATGATGCAATTCAGCTTTTTAAAAAAGAGCACTAGATCTATATATTTTAACCTGGAAAGAAGTCTATGGACTATTTTTAAATGGAGAAAGTTTTCAGAGTAATAAAGCATTATTTCAAATTTATTTTTAAAAAGGAAGTGCAAAACAAGCATTATACACATGGACATATACCCAACTAAGCACTGAAATACAGGGTGCACATAAAGTACTATTTTAGTACCATTTTAAATTGCACACGAACTTTATGTCCACCTTGTATTATGGAGGGATATACCATTGGTTACTTCAGGAGAGTTTGTAGGGATAAAGAAATACTAATTTTTATTATATACTTCTGTATTTTTTACTATGAGCGTGTGTTATTATGTTTGCATTTAAAAGTGAGCAGTGGCTCACATCTGTCATTTCAGCACTTTGGGAGACCAAGGCAGGAAGATGTTGATGCCAGGAGTTCAAGACCAGCCTGGGCAACATCGTGAGTACCCACCTCCACGAAAAACTAGCCAGGTGTGGTGGTGTGTGCCTGCAATCCTGGATACTGAAGAGGCTGAGGCAGGAGCATCCCTTGAACCCAGGAATTGGAAGTTGTAGTGAGCTATGAAAATGCCACTGCACTTTAGCCTGAGCAACAGAGCGAGAGACCTATCTCCAAAAAAAAACTGTTAATAAAATGAGAAAATAAAATATCTTTAAAAAACTAACCCTTTCAGCTTGGTGCCTGTAGCTCAAGCAGCTAGGACGCCAGCCACATACACCAAAACTGGCAGGTTCAAATCCAGCAGGGGCCTCCCAAAAAACAATGATACCTACAACCAAAAAACAGGCAGGTGTTGTGGCAGGCACCTATAGTCCCAGCTACTTGGGGCTGAGGCAAGAGAACTGCTTAAGCCCAGGAGATGGAGGGTGCTGTGAGCTATGACGCCACGGCACTCTACCCAGGGCGACAGCTTGAGGCTCTGTCTCAAAAAAAAAAAAAAGAAAGAAAGAAAACTAACCCTTTTCTATTAAACCATGTACAAATGATGTTTTAGGTTTGAAAAGAAATGTTAAAATAATTATGACTAAAACTTTTCAGAAACAAATCATGAATTTTTATTTATAAAACACCAGAAAAATTCAATATTTTCACAATGATAAATACTAAGCGAAGTTAAAACAATAAGCTAAGCTCAGTTTTAAATTATCAGACAACATATCTTTTTTTTTCTTTTTTTGAGACAGAGTCTCACTCTGTCACCCTAGGTAGAGTGCCATAGCATCATAGCTCACAGAAACCTCAAACTCTGGATTTAAAAGATCCTCTTGCTTCAGCCTCCCAGGTAGCTGGGACTACAGGTGCCTGCCCCCAGATCAGGCTAATTTTTCCTTTTAATGGACATGGGGTCTTGCTCTTGCTCAGGCTGGTCTGGAACTCCTGAGTTCAAGCAATCTACCTACCTTGGCTCCCAGAGTGCTAGGATTATAGATGTGAGCTACTGCACCCGCCTATCACACCCTTTTCTAAATACTCTTTTATATCATCTTGAGGTAACATTATCCGAAGTTCCAAACACACAAAGGATACCACAACTCACATGAAGAAAAAATATATTTCAGTGTGACAAATTCCAGGTCTAGCAAAAATAAGCTATGAAAGAAAGAATAGTCTAATCATCCAAACCCCTCACCTTCCCCACCCCCACAAGAAAAAAAAATGATAAGAGAAACCAACCTGACTTGTCCTCTGTGTCATCAAAGTCAACAACGAAGGAATGGCCGCTATTGCTGATGATTTTAGCTGAGCTTGGATCATACTTGATGCTAAGAGGTCGGAGGGAAGAGTCATATTTCACTTCTTTGGTTTTAATTTCAATCGGAGATTGCTGATCACCATCAGCAATAGGGAAAAATTTATTCCAATGAACAGGACCTAAAATATATAAGACTAAATAAGTTCTTTCATTCAGCAAACATTCATTGAGCATAATGTACTGTCCTTGAGACTGAAGAAAAAGCAAAAATTAAAGAGATTCTCATGCTCAGAATCTTGGCATCTAATGTTTTCTTTTATATATATAAGACTATTCTTATTATAGCTGTGAGAAATTCCTGGTTTGCCTTAAGTTGTTTGCAGAATTACACTAACCCTTGTAGACAAAGGAATATGTAAATTTTATTAAGTACGCTCCAAAGGTCTACCAAAATAAAAATAGCACAATTCATCACTGAAAACAATGAGATTCAGTCTCAGCTCTAAGAAAGAGCTGTGTTTGCTCCAAAGGTCAAGTTTGTGGGGTTGGGAGAGTCAAGGTTGCTGAGAAAGCTATGTTAACAGAGAAAGGGTGGGCCTCTTAAAGATGCTGCCCCTACTTCTTCCTTCTTTCTTCTGTCAATCAGCTGTTACCTTCTACTGTCACCCAGGCCTCAACTCAGTTACTATGATGTGCAACTGGCATACCAAAAAATATATATAAATTTTTCACATAATCCAAATAAAATGACTGCACTGTGTCCAGAAATGTAATATTGTCGATTATTGGTGGTGAGATTAAGAGGTAATGTATTTCTCCCTTTCAGAAGGTCCTTCTGTGGTTATTTTGCCAATGTTACAATTGAATTCCAGCAAATGGGACTACTGTCGTCCTGATCCCCTAATTGCAATAGTCAAAATTGCATCAAGACCAAAGTCAAATAAAAATATCAACATTTTGCATCAAATACCGAGTATTATCTATTAAGCACTATAGGTAGTTCATTTCCCTGCCTTTTAAAAAGGCATCATTTGAAAATTTTCCAAAAGATCCAACTTTAACATCGTTCTTAAGTAGAGATATATGTATGATGGTTCCTCAATTGATGCAGGAACTTTTAAGTATCCACAGCGACACACGGTTTTCAATGACATCACAGTCCCAAAACTAAACCAATATGATGATCAAAGGGTAGTGAAAGATGTTAGAAGTTGCTTGTGAAAGTGGTGCCCCCTTTCAGTGCATCACCCTTTGACGTTCCATTTTATCAGTCCTGCTATTCCCAATTTAAATTCCTTTTCTTGCTCAGTCACTGGGTTTGCCAATGTCTAAACAGAAAGGAGGCAACAAAACTTGCCTCGTCAAGATGCAACGCATTTCTAGTAGGATTTTGCCAAAGTTAATCTACTTAAAGGCGTGGTCATCAGAGAGTGATTTCATCTCAAAGAAGGGAATGGTCCGATAATTCCTAACAAAAATGCAAAATCACTCCTTATGGCTTCTCTAAAATGGATTTTTAAAGTTCCTAAGATGAGCTTTATTAGGGCCAATAATTTCTAAACTATTAAAGAGTAATCAATGCCTATCGATTGATATATACTTTTTTTTTTTTTGAGACAGAGCCTCAAGCTATCCCCCTGGGCAGAGTACTCTGGCATCACAGCTCACAGCAACCCCTAACTCCTGGGCTCAAGCAATTCTTCTGCCTCTGCCTCTCAAGTAGCTGGGACTTCAGGCGCCTGCCACAACGCCTGGCTATTTTTGGTTGCAGCCATCATTGTTGTTTGGCCGGCCGGGGTGGATTCAAACCCGCCAGCTCAGGTGTATGTGGCTGGCGCCTTAGTCGCTTGAGCCACAGGCGCCAAGCCAATATATACTTCTTAACTACTGTTTAAGGGCTGCTGGGACCTAGTGACTATTAAATAACAATTATCAGATATATACTATTCCTCATATAAAAAGGATTTAGGCTAGGTGCAGTAGCTCACAGCTGTAATCCTAGCTCTTGGGAGGCTTAGGTGGGTTGACTGCCCTCAGCTCACAGGTTCGAGACCAGCCTGAGCAAGAGCAAGAGCTCCTCTCTAAAAATAGTCAAGCATTGTGGCAGGTGCCTGTAGTCCCAGTTACTAGGGAGGCTGAGGCAAGAGGATCACTTGTGCCAAAGAGTTTGAGGTTGCTGTGAGCTGTGACACCATGACACTCTACCAAGGGTGATAAAGTGAGACTCTGTCTCAAAAAAAAAAAATGTTTTTAAACCTATAATAAATATGATTTCAGCAGAGAGGAAAATGAAAATAAATTTGTTCTGTGTTTTTTTCCCCTAAACACAAATTGGAAATTAAAAAAAGGTAAGATTATAATTATGAATTCAATCAAACAAAAAATCTGCCTATGTTATACTTCTCACTACAAAAGCGCTAAATCTCACACACAGCCACGTGTCAGCTAGCATGTGAATCATAACCTTAAACAGGCTATCATCAGCACTGGAACTTTTCTGTTTGTGAAAGGAAACATTCTGTAAAATTTGACCACATGGTACTGTTCAATGATGTGCATGCAAACAGTCCAGTGGTGAAGGTATTATTATTCATAGCCTTAATTTTTCAGTTATTATTTATTTACTTTTTTAATTGATTAATAAAAGCTGTATGTATTATGCTGCACGATTAATATTTTGAAACATGTATACATTGTGGAATGGCAGATCAAAGTAACAGAGCCCTAATTTGGGCAGTTTTCCCTAAGGGTTTTTTGGTGTCACTTTGCAATTATTTCAAATAATCATTATTCGAAACAATTCAGTTAAATGTAAAAACAAGAGAAAATAGTTTACTTTTTGATAACTTAGGATATACAAGAAGAAAATTATTGTCTCTCCCATAAATTAATTTTTATCAAGGTTTTACAGTTTCAATAATCCTCTGCTAATCCTCACTCTCTGCAAACGTCAAATGTGGAAATACAGGAAGAAAAAAGTGAAGTGATCCCAAATACAACTTCACTTCCCAGCAAGAGCCTCAAGCCTTACTAAAGTCAACAGTAGCAATCAAGCAACAGCAAATTTCTGTGGGAATATCTGACTGTAACAGCTATTAAGAAATTTGCAGTATTCTGTTTGCCAAGAAGTCAACTCAATCTTCAGTGTCACAATGCAAGTTAAGATTTCTTAAATACAGTTTCAAAGATTTTCCATGATTTGTTTTTCCTGAGTGAATAGTGAGCTTAAAAGACTAAAGCGAACTTGTCCTTATTTCATTAAAGTATGTCATCAGACTTCTAATCTCTAAGCCTTTAAATGGTAAGTGGTTGTTACCGAGGAAAAGTCCTCGGCTCTTCTAATGAAGGTGAACGGTCTATATACAAAGATTTAGGGGTCTGGGGAATCTCAACAGAGTTCACACACACCAGCGCCTCCCCTACCAACTCCCCACACGGCTAAACTGCCCTCTGCTTCCTGCATTCGGCTCTGGGGAAGTGCTGCTAGTTCAAACAGGAATCAAAAAGTTGCCCGAAAGCGTGAGATCAGCACTGTGTGGTCAGCGGGCGCCCGGGCTTCGGGCCAGCCCCCTCGGCTAAGCCCCTCTCATAGCGGGATAAGGCGCTCACCGTTGTGTTCCGCGTATCCCCAGCTGAGCCTCGACATGGTCCCTCGGGTGGAAGGCAGAGGAGGATGTGGCTGGGCAGAGGAGCGAGGGAGCGGACGGGCGCGCGGGCGGGAGCCAGTTGAGGGCGGGGACCGCGGGGTGCAGCCGGCACAAGTGGGAGCCCTTGAACCCCAGGGCTGGGCGCTCCTGACCTCGTCCTCCAGGGGGCGGCGGCGTGCGGGGAAGTCGCCCCCGCTCGCGCGAGGAGCCTGCGGGAGCCCGCGGAGCTGGGCCGAGTCCTGGGGCGAGGGTCCGTCTGAGTGTCAGTTTGGACTCAAGAATGGGAGGTTGGGTTAGACAGAGACAGACGGAAAGAGGAGGGTTTTCAGAGGGATTTTCTGCCTTCTGAGAAGTAGTCATTCTGGAAAGTGTTACCTAGAGGGCTATCCTAGAAATAAATGAGTCAGCGGGGCCTGGAGCTGCCAGGCTGGGAGGTGGGGACCTTGGTGGAGGTCGGTGAAGGTGGTTGTGGTAGTGATTGCAAATACAGAACAATAATGGCAATAGTAATAGCCAGTAACTATTTATTAAAGGTTTATCATGGGCCACAGTCTTAGACGTTTATCTACTTTTCCTAATAGATCCACTCAGCATTCCCTTGAATGTGCCTTGGAATTAGGAGATTAAGGAAAGGAAGCTTAAGAGATGATTAGTGACGCCCCTAGGTCATACAGCTAATAGGAGCTGGAGGTCACTCTTAGAAAGGGATGGAGATCACCACCCCCCTCCGACCCCCATGGGCTGTCTCCTTCTCCCTTTCGCCCCGTTCCCTGCCTCTTATTCTCACACTGCACACTGGAGAATGAGATCCCTAAATTCTGCCTTCCTGATCTCTCAAGAAAAAAGGTTTGCAGGCCATCTTTTCCTACATGCCTGGTAGGCTTACAGACCTAAGACTAAAGGCCCAACTAGCTGCAGAGCCTTGAATTTCTGGCCTGAAGTGGTGGGTGTTCTGGGTCTGAGTGAGACATTAAGAGCGCTGTGTGACTTGCCAGGATTATAATTACTGTTCCAGCTGCCTGAGGGTTTGAGTTAAGTCAATTTCAAATTTCGAATTGGGACAATATTTTGTTGGGAAAAAAATAAAAGCAAAGGTACAAAAGAATATATGTATGTGTTGTTTTTTTTTTTTAAGAGAATTAAGAATTTGTATACCTAGTTTCATATTTTGCCAAAAAAAAAATGTGAAGGATAAACCACAAATTAACAAAAATGATTTCTTATACAGGATGGGTATGAATGGGGTGGAGGGACAAGAATGAGAGGGAAACCCCTCAGTGAATCTTTTTAACCTTTAATCATAAATGTTTTGCATTTGAAAAAATATTAAATCAAAGAGAATTAAAAAGCAAACCCTAAAATGAATTAAAATGGAAACAAATGAAATTAATTGTATATTGAATTGATATGACAATTCAGAAAAAGTCAAATAACATTCTAATATAGTAATCTGGCTGAGTAGGATATATAACATATTGAGAAGAACTACAAGAAAATATTGAATTTTACCAGTGGGGTTTTTTTTGTCTGTTTGTTTTGTTTTTTGTTTTTTGAGACAGTCTCAAGCTGTCACCCTGGGTAGAGTACCATGGCATCATACTTCACAGTAACCTCAAACTTGGGCTCAGGCAATTCTCTTGCTTCAGCTTCCTAAGTAGCTGGGACTACAGGTGCCCACCACACTGCCTGGCTACTTTTTTGTTGCAGCTGTCACTGTTATTTTAGCTGGCCCAGGCCGGGTTCGAACTCGCCAGCCTTGGTGTATATGGCCAGTGCCCAACCCACCGAGCTATGGCCCTGCCCCAGTAGGTTGTTTTTCATAGGAATGTTAGGTTAAGCAGTTAGACATGATGAGTAGGATGGATGTTGGATACTATTTTGGTCTAGAGTGGGTCAGGCTGGCCTGAGTTGTTATGGGATAACTGGGGCTAATCCAGACCCTGTAGGTACAAGACCTTGCAGGTGGGTTGTTTGGGGGAGAGCTGGTTGTTTTAGAGGACTGATTAATGTCCAGAGGACTTTCTCACAGGGAGACAGATATGGTCATACTAATTTGGGTTGTTTTGGGAACTGCCTGATTAGGACTTTAGGGAAGGGGCTCCCAAGAAAGAACAGATGATGTGTCAAGGGGATCTCCAAGAACTGACCAATTAGAAAGATAGCGAAACCACAAAATAGAGGTATTGTCAAAACCTCAATAGAGGGTCTTTGGAGCATTCGCACAGGTAAGTAACAGAGTCGCTAGAGTTGCTAAATGAACTACCCTCATTAATAAAGCAAAAATCACACCATAAGCTCCACAACAGTTTACAAATACCCTGGAAATTACCTTATAAGAATAAAAAAGGAGCAGATTCCCAATTCCAGGAATTCCCCACCCCTTTCCAAGGAAAGCCATGAATAATCTACCTCCCATTTAACATAAAATTAGAGAATCAGTATAAAAGGAAATATCTTGTCAAACTCAGTGTCTCCTCTGCTCACAAGGGCTGACCTCTGTGGAATGTACTATTCTTTAATCTTTAATAAAACTTTGGCATGTTGCCTGCTTGCTCTACTCATTTATTCCATCGACTTGGTGCCAGTAACCATTCTTCAGAACTGGGAACCAAGAACTTGGGAACACCAGGAACTGATGCCTGGTCCCATCAACACTTAACAGGAATATTGCTGTTAGAATCCCAAACCCATTTTTGTCTATGTTGTAAAAGAGGACAAATGAGTAAATATACTGATGATCTCTGGAACCATGACTTTCATTCTGGTTTATACAAAAATATGAAATGACAGAAGCTCAGAAAGAAATCTATGGTGTTGGCTCGGCACCTGTGGCTCAAGCGGCTAAGGCGCCAGCCACATACACCTAAGGTGGCGGGTTCGAATCCCCAGCCTGGGCCTGCCAAACAACAATGACGGCTGCAACCAAAAAATGGCCAGGCATTGTGGCAGGCACCTGTAGTCCCAGCTACTTGGGAGGCGGAGGCAGGAGACTCGCTTGAGCCCAGGAGTTAGAGGTTGCTGTGAGCTGTGATGCCATGACACTCTACCCAGGATAGCTTGAGGCTCCGTCTCAAAAAAAAAAAAAGAAAAGAAAAGAAATCTATGGTGTTAGATTTGAATATTCTGTTCACTGAAAGATCCGAAAAGGTCCCAAAGATCTACATATATAGGGGGAAAAAATAAACTCCAAGTATATTTTATATATTTTTATTATTTTTTATATTTATCAACAGGTAGAAAAATATTTTGGATAGCCCTTCACTTAGGAATCTCTTCTAAGGCCATATACCTAATTTTATGTAAGTAATTTTGCATTCCTCTTCATAAAAACATCTCCAAATTTTAGTTTCAGATCTGGATCTACTCCTTGTTCTGAGACACTTAGCATCCAGATCTTGGTTTCTAAGCACCATTCCCCATTTGAAGGAACCAGAGATCCCTGGAGAAGTGACTGGTTTCAGGTTTAGAGTAGGAAAAGATCAAGATGGCCCTAAAACATATTTTTTATGCGAGAAAGCTAGAAAGTGCTCAAAAAGTAATGGGGTTGTATAAAACATATAGAGAGACGAGCTAGCATAATTGAGATCCCACTGCCAAATTTGGAACAATGTGACCATCAAAAAAACGATTATAACACCCCCCTCCAAATATCCATAAGTGCATAGTGATGCTCACAGAGAGAAAGAGAGAATCAGACAACGCCAGCTACTAACTACAGATCAATAATAGAACTCTATAGCCACCACTTTTGTAGGGCCAATATAGTATCTGGTTCAGGCCAGGGGCAGTGACAGATACTAAAACTTCTACATGAAAAGTTAGGAGACTTGGTTATTCACCTAATCTGGGATTGAAAAAGACAAAAGATACGTAACTCTCAAACCCAATGTGTGAATCTCAATTAGATTTTAGGTTGGAAAAAAGCTGTAATTGATGTTTTTGAGGACAATTGGAGGAATTTAAATATGTTCTACATATGATAGTATTAATGGATGTCAACTTTCTTAGGTGTGAGGACGACATGGGAATGAGGTAGAAGGTGAAAGCTGCAGCTATCCACTTGAAGTACTTTGATGTCTGAAACTGACTTCCAAATGTCTCAATCAGTAGTTGGTGATTCTAGCTGGCAAATATTTGGGAGTTGGTGATACTATTCTTACATTTTTTTCTGTAGCTGTGACATTTATTTCCGAAAAAAAAATAAGGGGACAAAAACCTTCCACTTCCCAAAATCATTAAACCCAGTAATTTACCAAATTACGCTTCATAACTGTGTATTTTCTCCTTAACAAAGACCCCCCAAGGCTTAGGGTTCACAACCATTAGACCCCCCAAGGCTTAGGGTTCACAACCATTAAGTGTAATCAAGTAAAGGAAGATTAACACTGACAACATAATCCAGGAATCTTAACCTAGGATATGGTCATTAAGTCTACCTCACTCTTTTTTGTGGGGGGGATGGGTATATATTTTTTCCACTTTACTCTTGAACCAGTTAGATCCAGTTTGAGCTCCCTTTGCAACAAAACCTGTTTATGTACGCTCTCCTCTACAATGACACTGTGTGTCATAATAAGCAACACTTGTACATTATAAAACTAACCATAAAAATATTAATTATCACAGTAACATACTAAGGAAATATCAAAGGATGAGTTCATCTTCTTTTACTAGGCCATATATACATATGCCTATTTTTCCTGGTGTTGTTTTTAAAAACTTTACATGCGAACCAAAGTAGCTATTATTATCTGAATTTTACCCTACAGAGAACTGAGATGAGCAAGCTTGCCAGTTCCCTAGAGAGGCAAGCCACACTGTCAGGGACATAACTCCAGCGTGCAGAGTCTGAAGTCCAAGGTGCTCTCCGATTTGTGCCTAGTTTCCTTCATTCTTTAAGTCCTGTCATTTGTGCAGCAGGGACTTATCAACCACAGGACTGTCTTATCATTTGGTATCTTGTGGAAAGGTTTTATGGAGTTGATACTATATGGAGGTTTAAATTTCTTTACTTTTCCATTCCTAAGGTTATCTTAAGGTTAAGCTTATATAATGCAATCTCCCAAGGAGGCATTTGAGACCCAGAGAGTTAAAAGACTACTTTCTTGCCAGGATGAGGAGTCTCAGACCAAGACTGAAAAGGTAACTTGGATGAATCACTTGTCAAGTCACTACTCTGGTTATAGCTTTC